AATACCTCCTTAAATAGCCTAGTTGGAAGTGGATCTAACATACAAGTTGAAGGCTTAGATGAAGACAATAGTTTTGCTAACTCTGAAAGTTCAACTGGATCAAAGCAGTATAAACCGGTTCAGATTCCATGACTACCTCAGATACAATCGCGGATAGAGGAGTGCTAATGATCTTATTTTTAATAAGATCAATCTTATTTATAAAGAATCCCATAATATCTTTACTTCTAAGAGCAGGTGGAATGGACGGTTCAACAGAGCTATGGCTCTGGGTGAGTTTGGCAACTGTATTAACCCTTTAAAGCCTTAACCATGAAATAATTGATGGAACATTCTAATTTTAAATGTCATTGAACTTTCTGAAAAAAAATGTATTAGTTAAATTAGACAATTTAATACATTAGGAGGTTCTGTATAACCTTTTATGTCTTCTGTTCATTACACGTCTGAATGTTTTATTCTGTGCTTCAAGAGCAAAAGCATCGCACTGATGCAGAAGTCTAAAAACTCATGTTTCAAATGTGATACACATGGCTTTAAAGGATTAAAAATAAATCTAGGATTATTATTCTCCTCTATTAATGAGGAGAAGTATGCTGCTCTTGCTTTACAAAGGGTCCTCTTGTACAGCAGTAAACTATTTTTCCAGACTTGGAAGGACTCCCACAGGCCTGTGGAGCGATATTTTCTCTCCAGTTTCCGAGCATTTTGCTGTGTTAAACCAAGGAGCAAGCTTTCTATTTTTAGAGTTCAAAGGTCAGGGGGATCAGAACCTGAGCGGTCAGCTTCTGTTCTCAGACCTCCTCACTGGACTGACCGTTGCCATGGTTTCTGCCTCCCACAGGGGGGCGCTGGAGGCCTACGTCCAGGTGGTCCGAGCCCGGCAGGGGAAGGAGTTCGCCCCCATGTATCCCATCATGCTGCAGCTGCTGCAGAGGGCCACCAGCGGGGCTCAGGGGCCCAAACCCTGAAAGACCCGGCTTTCAGAACCAGAACCGTTTGGTTCTGCTGTAGAAACTGGTTCAACTCACGATCATTAATAAAATGAAGGGAATAAAGAAACAAAAG